CCTATTAATTATTGATCTTATTGGTGATCGATTCTATTAATTATCGATCCTATTGCTCATCGATCCTATTAATTATCGATCCTATAGGTTACCGAGCCTATTAATTATTGATCCTATTGGTCATCGATCCTATTAATTATCGATCCTATTAATTATCGATCCTATTAATTATCGATCCTATTAATTATCGATCCTATTAATTATCGATCCTATTAATTATCGATCCTATTAATTATCGATCCTATTAATTATCGATCCTATTAATTATCGATCCTATTAATTATCGATCCTATTAATTATCGATCCTATTAATTATCGATCCTATTAATTATCGATCCTATTAATTATCGATCCTATTAATTATCGATCCTATTAATTATCGATCCTATTAATTATCGATCCTATTAATTATCGATCCTATTAATTATCGATCCTATTAATTATCGATCCTATTAATTATCGATCCTATTAATTATCGATCCTATTAATTATCGATCCTATTAATTATCGATCCTATTAATTATCGATCCTATTAATTATCGATCCTATTAATTATCGATCCTATTAATTATCGATCCTATTGGCCATCGATCCTATTAATTATCGATCCTATTAATTCTTGACCCCATTAATTTTCGAGCCTGTTAATTCTCGATCCCATGAATCATCCATCCCCTTAATTATCGGCCCTATTAACGACCCTATTAATGACCGACCTCATCGATCGCCGCTATTGGCTATTGATCGCCCCCGTATTGACCGCCCCCGGGGGGGGGAACCCCCCTCCCCCCTCCGCGGCTCTAAAACGGGGCCAGAAAAGGCCGATTTGGGTGCGGCCCCGCCCCCTCCCGCCGACACCGTTTTCTGCAGAATTTCACCCGAATCGGGGGGAGGGCGGGGGAGGGGCCGCCCCGCCCCCTTTTTCCACCGGGGGCGTTATTTTGGGGTAAATTTCTGGGTATTTTGGGCTTCGCACATCTGGTTTTCCAGCTCGAGGCTGAAGAGCGAAGACCAAAAGCGGCCGAAGGGCCCCAAAAAAGGCCCTTCTGACCCCCAAAAAAACCCCAAAAAACCTCAATTCTGCGGATCCGGAGCATCAACGTGGACCCAAAAATGCCCTTTGTGGACCCAAAAATGCCTTTTACGGAGCCAAAAATCTTCATTATGGAGCCAAAAATCTCAATGATGGATCTGGAACGTCAACGTGGACCCAAAAATGCCATTTATGGACCCAAAAATGCCTTTTACGGAGCCAAAAATCTTCATTATGGAGCCAAAAATCTCAATGATGGATCTGGAACGTCAACGTGGACCCAAAAATGCCTTTTATAGACCCAAAAATGCCTTTTATGGAGCCAAAAATCTCAATTGTGGATCTGGAACTTCAACGTGGACCCAAAAATGCCTTTTATGGACCCAAAAATCTCAATTATGGACCCAAAAATCTCAATTGTGGATCTGGAACTTCAACGTGGACCCAAAAATGCCTTTTATGAACCCAAAAATCTCAATTATGACTCGAAAATCTCAATTATGGACTCGAAAATCTCAATTGTGGATCTGGAACTTCATTATGGACCCAAAAATGCCTTTTATGGACCCAAAAATCTCAAATATGGAGTCAAAAATCTCAATTATGGATCTGGAACTTCAATGTGGACCCAAAAATGCCTTTTATGAACCCAAAAATCTCAATTATGGACTCAAAAATCTCAATTATGGAACTGGAACCTCAACGTGGACCCAAAAATGCCTTTTATGGACCCAAAAATGTCTTTTATGGACCCAAAAATCTCAATTGTGGATCTGGAACGTCACCATGGACCCAAAAATGCCTTTTATGGACCCAAAAATGCCTTTTATGGAGCCAAAAATCTTCATTATGGACCCAAAACTTCCCATGGACCCAAAAATGGCCATTATGGACCCAAAACTCCAACGCGGACCCAAAACCGCCCATTATGGACCCAAAAATCCTCATTATGGACCCGAAACTCCACATGGACCCAAAAATGTCCATTATAGACCCGAAAGTCCACATGGACTCAAAAATGTCCATTATGGACCAAAAAAACTCAATAATGGACCCAAAAATCCTCATTATGGACCCGAAACTCCACATGGACCCAAAAATGTCCATTATGGACCCAAAACCTCCCCAAAATCGCTATTACGGACCCGAAATAGCCACGACGGACCCAAAACCTCCGTAATTGAGCCCGAAAAGCCGTCGGGGATCGAGAGGCTCCGGGACGGACCCAAAATCGCCCCGTTTGGACCCAAAAAGAAGTGACGGGTACGGACCCAAAAAGGGCACCAAAAACTGAGCCAAAACCTCCAGAACTGAG